TGTAGGGAAAAAATGTAAAACAAGAGAAGGAAAAAAAAAGCAAACAAGAGGAAAAAAATCCTAGCACTCACACACTGCGGCAAGAACTTGGATCAAAACCAGGGGGAAGATTTCCACTTGGGATTGGTTCTATCTGCAAAAGGAAAAAAGAAAGAAACGAAAGAAAAAATGAAAAAACAAATTAAGAAAAAAAAATGCTTCTTCCTAACCCTTGTCTATATTACTCTTCAGAAAGCTTCAGCAACTAAACATTTTGTCACTTCCACACGGCAAAACAAGGTTCACAGAAATCAGAAGATACGAAATCGAAGACTAGAGCAAGTGTCACTCCGACAAACTACTAGAAAAAGGTAGATTCGTCTCAAGTTGTTGATGTTGTTGAACGGAGACAATAACCCACAGAGACCAAACCTCCAAGCCCGAGAAGGAACCATTTTTTCAATCATCAAAAGCGTCAGGAAAACATGAAAATAAAGCACAAGACGAATAGTTAACACACAAGCTCTGAATACAAAGAGAACCAAGGGAAGTCTGATTGTTCCTTATAAAATCCCATCAAACCCAGAACTTTTCTCGTTCACGAATCAGAGGACAAAACGAAGCAAGCATCGACAATCACAGAAGTAATCAACCAAATCAGGACACAGACACCGACAAAAGCATATGCAATAAAAAAAATTAAAACAAAAATTGACGCCACAAAATCGATGTTGAGACACGAGTTTGAACCTAACCCTAACCCTACATAATAATTTCCCAACCAACACCACGGACAACCAAATACACACTAAAACAAATCCCTGAGAAAAACAAATCCAACACGAAATCGACCTTCGGAAGAAGAAAACACAAAAAGAACAGAGCGACGGAGAGAGAACCTGAGGCGGGGCCAAAAGGCCCGGGTGGTAGAGAGACTGCTGCTGGAGAAGAGCTTGCTGCATCAGGGCTTGTTGTTGCTGTTGCTGCTTCAATCTCTGCATTTTCTAGGGATATTTTCCTGCCTTGATTGTCGTTTCCCGAGAAAATGGACACCGTCTGTATTTTTTTTTAGGGTTCGAAGTGTTTGGTCCCCGAGAAAACAAGGTGGAAAAAGAAAGAAGGGAAGAAAGTAAAAAAAAAACACAAACAGAGGAAAAGAAGCCAATGAGATTTATTCGATTGTTTTTAACTAACTCAGGAAAAAAAAAAGTTCAACTCGCAGAAGCTGAGACTCTTTAATAACAGCCAATGAAATTCAACCACGTGTTCAGGTTCAGTTGGGTAGTTGGATTCCCTCGTAAGGCCCGGCCCAATCTCTTGCTGTAGGACCCGCCTTAAATTAGATTAAGATATAGAACTTCACTAAATTTACAAAACCACCCAAAATCTTTACTAATGTGCAAAACACACCCCATGATGGGTTCCCATTAACTGACAACCGGCTAAATTGTACCATTCTAAGAAAATAATATATATGTAAGTACATTATAATCATGATGGGTCTAATCTAAACTAATCTAATACAACACAAATAACCTCTTAAGAAGCTTCAATGTCACAAAGTAAAAACTAAAGTGTATCGTTCTACAGCCTCAGATCAAGATCCTCCTCTTTCTCCACAGATGCCCCTTTGGTTTAAGAAGAGGAGCTGCGACGAGGTTATACGCTTATCCCATGATTGGCCTAGCCCTACGGATGATGAACTCGCGACCTCTGGCTTCGGAGGATGACCCGTGTTTTGGTTCACTTGGTATGGAGCTCGAGCTGCTGCCCTGTAACGGGATAAAAACGCAAACCCCGTAAGCTACAAATGCAATGCGAGTCTATTTTGCGTGAAACATGATCGAATTGACGCGTAAAGTCTGAGACTTGGAGCAGATATCGGCCAGTTTCAAACAAGTTTAGCTCGAAAACAGAGATCTGGAGAGCTAAGCATAGCAACAGGGGATGTTTTTTTTTTATGAAACTAGAACACAATGTGTAACGATCTGTTCCGTCTTTTGCTTATACATTCGATTCACACCCATTACCATTTTCCGACATGAGATACGGCCATAGAGTCAGTTCAAGACTTAAAACAATGGCTCTCACATTTTTAAGCAAAACCCCGGGAAAATAACAAAAGACGAGAGGATTTGGATTTGGTTTTTTACCTGTCTTTGCGTTTAGCGAAAAATCGGTGGAGCGAGGCTCTCCTCGCTATTCGATCCATGAGCTGGTTCTGCTGTCTTGTCTGATGATCACTGTCGTTTTCCAAACACGTAGGCTCGTTCAGATCAGGAATAACCAGACTGTTTTCGCTGCTGTTGTCGCTGCTGGTAATGGTAATGATGTCGACGATGCTACTGTTGTTCTTGTCGCCGTTTGCTTTGAGGTGATTCCTAGAACAGATCTCATCAGCCATGGAATCTGAATTAAGCACGACGGTTGAAAACGTTTCCGGTTTCACAATCTCCATTATCTCCTTGGCCTTGTCCGCCGGAAAATCGTTGAAAACTATAACTTTTCCGGAGAAGAATATGGTCAGTTGGGAAGTTCCCGGCTCCGGTACACTTGCCGGTTCACTGAAACCAAAGAGCGTCAAACACTCAGTTGATTCTGTCAAATCAAAACCGGTTCAGGAGGATTAACCGGCAACCCATTTCAGTAAATGCAATCACGACCTCAAAGATTGAACATTTTCAACAACAGGAAGGCGTTGGAAAATGCTCCTCAGATAAATTCATACATCAGCAAGAACAATCTGATACAGACATACATATACATACAGACATACATACATACATACATACATACATACATACATACATACATACATACATACATACATACATACATACATACATACATACATACATACATACATGTTTACATACATACATACATACATACATACATACATACATACATACATACATACATACATACATACATACATACATACATACATACATGGGGCATGAGGAGTATGCATCGTTCTACAAGTTTTTCCAAAGATTCCTCGCTATCTTCTGAACAAGTGAAAAGCTTCAAACGCATAAACATCTTATGTAAATTCGCATCGCACCTGAAGTCGGCATCTTTAGCTTCGGATCCATAGGAGGCAGAGCGTAAGGGACGGCGACCCTTCTGCATGAAATCGATGGGTTTAAACTCAGACGATTTCTGTTGACCTGAAAATATATTTCAAAAAAACACAAAACTCAGACGAATCAATAAAAAAAACACAGAAAGAAAAAAGAAAAGGATGATCTTTGCTCATCGTAGCCTCTTCCCTTGGTTGTTCTTCTGTTTAATACGAATACCCAAATCCAGAATCATAGAAAGAACAACAAAAAAATCAAACCTTTAACAAAATTAAGACAAAAAAATTACCAGCGGGATTGGGTTTTCCGGCGATCCCGAGACCGGAATCGGGTTTTCGGGTCAACCCGAGATCTATGCCTCCGAAGCTTCCATTCTGCTTCAAGTACCGACTCAGCAGATTACATCTCCGGGAAAACTTCGACTTCTCCGGAGCCTTTTCCGTCGCATTGTTCGGCATAGTTCGACGAAACGGCAAAAAGATAAGATTTTGATTACCGATGAAAGAAAAAAGATCGTTTTTTTTATGTGGGTTTGCTGAGAAAAATCGGAGAATATATAATATGAATCTCTCGGATTCTCACAGACATGTGGGAATCTGATCCTCTTCGTGTGGCTTTAACCTCACGCGCCAAAAGACAAAAATAAATATTTTTATTTTATTGATTGACAAAAAAAATATTTAAATTTTTTAGTGAAGAAGGGAGAGAGGTAATCAACCAAGAGAATTCATATTTATTGAAGAAAAACAAATTTTATTTTTAAATGTGACTAAATACCGCCGGATGGCGATAGTTTATACTAAAAAAAATTGAGTGGCGAGAATTCATAGTTATTTTGTTAAATTAAGATAAGCGAGATATTTAAAATTAAAATTTAATATTCGTTAGGAATTTCTGGAATTGTTACACGGAATTATTTAGTAAATAATGCCATGTTTTCTTTGTATTGATTATCTAGCATTTTCAAGGAAAAAAACACACATTATTCCATTAATAAATTTAATTTAAGCCATTTTCTTTTTCTTTATTTTTTTGTGGGCATTTTCATCATTTTTAGACCAAACTAATTTCTGTCACAATTGCCCCCACGTTTTCCTTGCGCGCACCGGGCAAGGAAGAGGTACGAGTTGACGGCGACGTTATCTAATGACGTCACTCGCTTCCGTTAATCGTTTGGCCTAGGAGTTTTTTTTTGTGTTTTTTTTTAGGTTTTGTATATTTTTGTTTATACTGACTTTCATTTTAGTTTGATTTTTATTGGTATTGGACTGATATTTGGTTTCGTAAAAACAAAAGATTTTTTAAAAAAAAAATATTTTTATTTGATTTTTCAATTATTGTATATTATATTTAAATTCGATTGGTATTTTATTTGTTTAGATTTAAATATCTTTTAATTTTTTAGATAAAATATACTTCAAATACAATTATATATCATATTAACGAGAGAATTTATGAATACAAAACCTTTTTAACTCCCCACGCCCTTCTTCGACGATCCTTGAGGCAGGGCCTTTCATGGTGGCATTATTGTGGTTACAGAGAAAACGTGTGGGCATTTCGGTCATGAAACTTATTAACGGAGAGACTAACCATGCGGGGCCCACTCTTCCCGACGAATTCTCAGCTATCATGGAAATAGAGCACGTGATTTAATTGAGTTTTTTAGATGTTGATATTTTTTTTACAGGCCGGCAGGGATTTTTGACACTTGGCGCAATCTAACGATTCTTCACGTGACAACGAATATAAAACCTTGCTATATTTTAAATAAAAATACATATTTTAAATGGAATATAAAACCTTACTATATTTTATCAATGCTGATATAATAAGCAATTTCGAATATCCAAATAAAAAGGCATATTTTAAATGGAATATAAAAAAATCACCAATATTCAATCTCTATCTAATCTCAAAATAGAGCAATAAGTTTTTAATTAATTTTCAATCCACTTGCAGTTAAAATCATAGAGTTTGAGAATGATAATAAATTACTTGTCATTAGGTAAAATACAATATTTTAAACGAGTAACTTGAAATAAAAAGGTTCAAGACTTAGCAGAAACAAGGAAATGTAATCATATTTTGTTTTATATGGAAAATTAGTTAAATAACAAATTACATGTGTTTATATAAATCATTAATGCTAACCAAACTTTAATTGGGGTTTTGACATTGAGGATTCATAGCATCGCATAGAAAAAAAAGGAGAGATTTGCAGGTGGATGAACAGTTTGCAATTAACACGGCATATTATAGCTCAATTTTTTTAAAAAAATGTGATTGAAATTTAAATCAAATATCACATTTAGATCAATTAAAGCATTTGATTAATATAAAAAAAAGAAACCCAAAACATTAATGGGAATGATACAAGTTACATGGCCGCATTAACGAAAGTAAGAAACGTAATTTCATCATATTTTTTATTATTATTGGGACATAATGAAAAGGTTCGATTTATTACATAATTGTGGTAAAATCCAAATATCGTTGGTGTGATAAACGTGTGGCAAATAGAGATGATGAATGGGTCCAAAGAAAAAACAAAAAAGATAAAAAAAAATGGCACTTCATCACATTCTCCATATGTTAAAACCACTTCAGCGTGTTATTGTACCGACAAACCACTCAATTTATTACAATAATGTCCAAATCCATATAATGAGGAAAAAAGGGGAAAAGGGAAAAAAAAAGGCCTTGGCCATTGAAGATAAAGATTCCGACCACATGAACATGACTTTTACATTGACAAATTCTTATAAAATATTGTTAGAATTAATATAATTATGTATTTTTTGTATATGATACTAATGTTTTATATAAATTATATATAAAGTTGCATTTTAACTATGTTTAAAATTGTTTTATGGGTGTGTTGTTTGGATACTTTTGCAGGCTTTTCAAATTCTACATAGATGTTTTTGTCTATATGTCTGAGTAAACTAATATTGATATGAAATTCTCTAGAATTTTCCAAACGAAATTGTAGTACAACGATTATTTGTTTGTATTAGGATGATTACTACTTAGATATCGGAATCTTTAATATTTGAAATAATATATGAATATTTTACACAAATTTAAGATATTCGAGTCGGTATCCGAATTTTATATTTATTAAAATGAAGTGTTATAATATGTAAATTTAAAATAGTTTTTAATTTTAATAAATATATTAGCATTTTTATTTGTTATTAAAATTAAAATACTTTCATAAATTTATAAATATTAAAATAATTTCGTATAATAATTCTGATTTCTTCTAAATCGCAGAATACGAATCCAAAAATCTCCGATTTATGAATTCAAAATTCAAAGCCGAATAATTTCCGTTGCCGTTGGGCTTCTTCTCTTTTTGGAGACAAAAGCGAGCGCCAACAAGAACGGGCCGGCGGACAATGGATTTATTCATTGTTGGGCTTCGGAACATACAAGGGTAATTATGTAATTTTATTCTCCTCCCCCCTCTCTCTCGTCGCTGACTTCTTCAACGACCGTTGGCGCCACATTCCTGAGACGTAGCTTCCCTTATCCCATCAATGGCTGACACAGAGAGAGAGAGATTGAGTTTCAAAAAAAAAAAAGGACAGATAAAGAAAGAGAGAGAGAGCGAGAAAAAAGGGCAGATCCAATGAGAAGAGATCTATTTCGAACAATTTTCAACCCCCACAAAGGAAGAAGAAGAAAAAAAACCAACCTTTTTTTTTCCTCCTCCGGTTAGCTAAATGGCCGTGGCCTGGCTTCTCCGGCCGTTCGTGCTCGCTCTCACAGCACTTTTTGCCTTCTTACCTCTCTCCAGTTCCATAACCGAGTCCGAATCCCTGTTGAAATTCAAACAATCCTTACCCCACGCCAAATCTCTCGATTCTTGGGGCCAAAATTCCGAGCCTTGCGGCAAGAATTTCAGATGGTTCGGACTCCTCTGCAACAAAAACTCCGTCTTTGGCCTCCAGCTCGAGCGGATGGGACTCTCCGGGAGCATCGACGTCGCCTCCTTGACGGGTCTACCTGGTTTGAGAACCATCAGCATTATGAACAATTCCTTCACAGGCGCTATACCAGAGTTTAACCGGTTAAAATCCCTGAAAACGGTTTACCTTTCCGGGAATAGATTTTCCGGTACGATCCCGCCTGATTATTTTGCTAATATGGCGTCTCTGAAGAAGGTTTGGCTGTCGAACAACGAGTTCTCAGGTCCCATCCCTATTTCTTTGGCCACCGGATTGCCCAATCTCATTGAGGTACACCTTGAGAACAACAAGTTCAATGGCCCTATACCGGATTTCGCCCAACAATCTTTGGTTCAGGTTGATTTCTCGAATAACCAACTAACTGGAGAGATACCACCCGGTTTGTCAAAGTTCGATACTCGATTCTTCGCTGGAAATGTCGGCCTTTGTGGACAGAAACTTGGAACTTCCTGTCAACACAAAACCAATTCGAGTTCACGGATTGTGACAGAAGGGTCAATGAGAAATGCATCTAAAATCAAATACGTCATCGCATTCGGGACACTAGGCGGTCTTATTCTCATCGTCTTAGCTTCCATCGTTTTCCGGAAGACGAAAAAGAAGATAAGCAGGGCAAACCCTCGAAGTGATCAGAATGATGGCACCAGGGATCATCATGTTCAGGTTCTTACCAAACATTACCAGAAACACCAATTAATATCTTGCCATCCAATCCATGATAGTGATAGAACAAAACTGAAAGAACATACGACACAATAGGATAGTTACTTGTTAGTATCCAAATGCCAAACTGTTAGATCGTAAAAAACACCAATCCCAATTGATTTCAGAGGCGGAAAACTCACGGTTTCTGATACAGGTCACGGTGGCTGGATCGAGAAACGATTCAGACAAGCCAAGAGTCGGTAGGAAAGGTGGCACGGCCAACAAGCTCACGGCAGGTGCAGAGCTGGTTATGGTGAACCGAGAAAAGGGAGTTTTTGGATTACCGGACCTGATGAATGCTGCAGCCGAGGTGCTGGGTGGGCTCAGCACCGGCCGGACGAGCAGTGCGAGCCGGCCAAGCAGCGGTGGAAACGTGGGCTCGACGTACAAGGCGGTGATGGGGAACGGAGTCGCCGTGGTGGTGAAGAGAGTGACGGTGATGAACCAAATGAGCAAAGACGTGTTCGACAAGGAAATCAGGAGACTAGGAAGCTTGCGCCACAAGAATCTATTGACCCCTCTGGCTTACCATTTCCGGCAAGACGAGAAGCTCCTGATCTCCGAATTCGTCCCCAATTTGAGCTTGCTTCACCGATTACATGAAGATCATGGTGAGTTAGGGTTAGAATTAGATTGGCCCGCTCGCCGCAAAATCATCCAGGGGATCGCCAGAGGAGTGGAGTATCTCCACCGGGAGTTAGGGTTTCTCACTTTGCCCCATGGGAACCTGAAATCCAGCAATGTTCTTCTCTCCAGCGACGGCGAGCCTCTGATCTCCGGATTCGGGTACCACCGCCTGATCAATCCCGAGGCCCAAATTCAATCCCTAGTCGCGTACAGATCACCCGAAGTAGATCGAACCGGAACCGTGTCGGCGAAATCCGATGTGTTCTGCGTCGGAGTCGTGATCCTCGAGATTCTCACCGGGAAATTCCCGTCGCAGTACGCTGGATTGGGGCGAGCCGGCGGGACAGACATCGTGGAGTGGGTGGGCTCCGCCGCAGAACACGGCGGATGGATGGAGCTCCTCCACCCTACGGGCGCCGCCGCGACATCGTGGAGTGGGTGGGCTCCGCCGCAGAACACGGCGGATGGATGGAGCTCCTCCACCCTACGGTCGCCGCCGCCGCCGACTCGGACCAGACCGCCGACGAAGTCGAGAGGATTCTACGCGTGGGTGTTAGATGTACCGGAGAAGATCCAGATCAGAGACCGGAGATGATTGAGATCGTCGAGGAAACCAGGACGAACAAAGAATCCAAGGACGAGTTCATCACGATGACGTGATGGGTAACGCCGCCGATGAACCTCCATGTTCGTCATCCCCGCCGCCGTCGAGCATATTTTTACCATTTTTTTATTATTTTAGTTTAATTATTTTTAAATATTAAAAGATATTGTGTATTTTTGGTAATATGGACTGAGGTTTTGACATTGTAAAGAAATGTAAAATGTTTAGGCAAATATTTTGTTTTACTTTGAATTTTCAATTATATGGAATGAATAGAATATCGATACAAATATTCAGACGAAATTACACAAGTAAAAAACCATTTTTGATGCTAAATTTAAATTACAATTGAATTTGGTATATATGATTCTGCAAAACCAATAAAAAAAATTATCATATGATATGTTCATTGGAAACATTGCAAACCGAGTTCAAAATTATATCATTCTTATAATATATGTATATATATACACGAGCTATAAGAAGAATTTTTACCATCAAATTAAAATTAATTGCATAAAAAGAAGATTAATTACTAGAGACGTGCGTATTTATTTAATTACAGATATTTAGACTAAATTAAAATCAGTAATAAACTTCGCAAATTACGAAATAATCACATGCGCATGCATGCGTCCGGACAGCTAAATACAGCTGGAGATTAACAAATCAATAATAATAATAATAATAATAATAAAAGGACCGATTTATAGACCCTCTAAATTACAGCAGACAACAAAAGACCCATCTCTGCATGGGGATATCAATAACTTAATTTCCTAATATAAATTTTATATACTTATTGTCAGTATCCTTAATTTTTTATTAATAATTTGTATACAATATTATAAATACCATGTATATTATTATTCATTATAAATGTTTATACATTTTTTTAACTAAATGTTTATACATTGAATCGGGACGAGGTCTATAAGCATTAATCACTCAAAACTTGTAGAATTACTAAATTATCCAAGCACACAAAAAATCAAATAAGGTTTCTTATTTTGTTTTTGAAATGGAGAAAAATATTGTTAATAATAGAGCGTTTCCCTAGTTTACAATTTATTATTAGAAAAAAGTATCAGAATTCAAATTTAATTAAATTAAATTATAAAAACCTAAAATATTACTGGCTCATCCAGCAGGACACCACTCGTGCAACAACAATTTTTTATATACATAATTTTGATTGCATTTTTCTAGATTGTCCCACAGTAACAATAAAAAATAATCTTCAGTCTATCACCACATATTACAATCATTATCACAAATAAATAATCATTTCCAAAATAATTTGACAATACACAATTGCATTCCATATAGTAGTATAGTACCCATCCAATTTTATGTTTTTTTATTACATTTACTTTAAGTCTATACTATATAATATATATATATAGTTTAAATATATAAAAGCAAATCAAATCAAATAATATACAATAACTATATTCATATTGAATTCTATTAAAAGAATTAGGTATAGTTTTAGAAGTTATATTGATTGAAATTAAATTTAACCTATATTAAATAAAAAATAAAAAAATGTTTTTAAAAAATGGATATTTATTTATCAAAACGAGGGTCACATCCGAACAAAAACAACAAGATACGGACATAGAAAACACTTTTTAAAAAAATAAATAGATTCAATTTTTATAAAATATGATAACCTAAATGGAAATTAATAAAATCTAAATTTAATTAAAATATTATATATCTAGCTCTAATTAGAATACTCAGAAATCATTTTTCTTTTGGAATATAATTTATTTTTACTGTATAGTATTTGTCTTTTTCACAGTTTTTTTTTTGGGTAAAATCTTATTCACCATTTTTACTGTAAAACATTAAGAAAAGCCATAATGCATGGGAAATCGGGTGCGCGAGCACGTGAATGTCGGCCCATTTTGGCAGTGGAATAGTTGACTTCATTAACCATATCATTTAGATTTTCAGATTTCTTTAATTTAGTCATTAGTTAAATTTATTAATTAGCTAAGATGCTTTAAAAACAAATAAATAAAAAAAGAATAATGCATATTTAAAATTTAATATCCCCCCACCTTCACATGATACGATCCTCTTCATGAAGCTTGTTGTTTCTCCTAAAAAAAATGCTAAAATAACCTCACAAATAAACTAAAGCATTCGCTATTCTCTATTTTTAACCATAATAATTTCATTATTATATTTTTCATGTACTGTATATAAATAAATATTTATAGTAATTTTTTTTGCATCTATCAGCATATCACATTCAATTCTATTATAATTATAATTTCCAAATTATCAAACGTATGGTTTTTATGATCAGAAGAAGAAAAATAGTTGATACCACATTTCAAAGTTGAAAATATATATATATATAT